ATCAGAGAAATTTGCTGTTTTATTTTCTTCCTCGTCGTATCCTTCCAGGTATTTGTTTATGGGTTGTAGTTCTTCTTCTTCACTAGTCATCTGTGCGTAGTACTCGTCAAAAGGATGTTGCTGTTCGTCCACGTCCGTGCTCTCTATTTGGTTAATTCTTTGAAATTTTGCCGGGGTTTGGTGGAGTTGGTTTGAGACTGGGGCTTGTCTACGTATCGCTTGTCCCATGTTTTGTGGTCTGTTAACGTAGTTAACTCTTGCTGTCTGCAAGGATCTGTCTACGTCCATCGGTGTAGGGGGTTTTGGTTGAAAGGGTCTTGGTGGTGGCAAGTTATATTGCTGTTGTATCGGATAATTATTTTGTTGTCTAAGGAATTGTTGTTGTGGTGGGTAGTTGTTTTGTTGTTTGTGAAATTGTTGTTGCGGTGGATTAAAAGGATTATATGGCGATTGGGAGCTAAACTGTTGATTTCTAGGATTATAGTTTGTTTGGGGTGTATACCTATATTGATTTTGTGGGAAGTGAGCTAAGTGTGGATAAAATTGTGGCTGTCCATTATTTTGATTTCGTCTAGGATTCTGTGGGGGTGTGTTTTTATTAATTTGTTGAGTTCTGTAATTTTGGTTCTCTAGTTTAAGGCATAAATGTAAAGCTTGTGGAAGGTCAGTTGGTTCTCTTGTTCCCAAAAGTCGGGGTAAGTCACCTCTTAGTCCTCTAATGAAAGTATCTAAAGCTTTGTTACGATACGTTTCTGTCATAAGTTGCATGGCTTCCAGACCTATTTTCATGCAACCTATTTTGTTAAGGATGAGGGTTAAATGTGCGTACACTTCCTGATAAAATTGTTCGATTGTGTGACTGCCTTGGGTGAGTGTTGACATTTGATATTCTAAGGTTCCTAAGTCACGTTTATCCGCGTAATGTGTCTCTAAGCAAATTGAAATGGCTTCCCAATTCAGGGGGGTGTTGTAAGACTCTAATGCAGTGTCTGCGTGACCTACTATTTTATTTCTAATTACGTTCAATATTGCGAAATATTTGGGGGTGCCTTTAGTGACATCGAACAATTTTATGATGCGATCTACGCTTTTTTTCCACGAGGCGAATTCCTTCGGGTCTCCAGAAAATTCTCTTAAGCATCTAACTACATCTGGGACCTTGTCTAAGTCTCCTAGATTAGCTCTATGCGCTTCGTCTATTTCCTGATCTCTAAAAATGTTTTGCCTGGGATTTACTAAATTTGGGACTATGGCCTGACATTCTGCTAAACAAATTCTGCGTACTGCTTGACTTATTGCTATTTCCATGTCTGGGTTTAACTGGTTGGCATTTGGGGCAGCTGGTGGCTGATTTACATTTTGGATAACTGGTGGCCTTACAAGGTTATTTGGATTCATTTTGCTTATTTTATTTTATTTATTTACTACTATTATTTTTTATTAATTATTTTTATTAATTTCGTGGTGTGAAAAATTAGTTAATTAGTTTTATTAAAAATTGGAAAAAGAAAAAAAAAATTTTTTTGAATTTTTATTCTAAATTTTCCTAAGCTTATTGTTGTTAACCTAAGCAAAGTAAAAGAATTATCTTATTTTAAAAATGATACGCTTATAGTAATAATATGGACTTCATTTTGTTCTGATTTTTCCCGAACTCTGCTGCTGCTCTTTGCTATCACTGTTGAATAGTGCTGAACGTCGTTGCCGCTTCTGGATTGTGAGTACCGTTGTTGTTGTGAATAAAGCTGAACTTTGATGTTTCTTCTCGGGTTACGGGCACTGTTACTGTTGAATTTTTGTGCTGCTATTTGTTTGTTTGTTGCGTATTTTTTAAACGTTTTAAATGTTTAATATTTATTTATTTTTATTTATTAGAAAATTTCACCAGTGTATAAGTTTTTGACTTGTTTGTTGTAAAATATTTTCTTAGGTTGATATATTTCATTTGTATTTGCTGCTTTCTTAAATCGAAGTATTTCACTTAAGTTTTAATTTAATTTAATTTGCTGCTTTTCTTGAATCGAAGTATTTCACTTAAATTTTAATTAAATTTGATTTGCTGCTTTTCTTAAATCGAAGTATTTCGCTTAAATTTTAATTAAATTAAGTCCGGTAGATATCGACGCTGCTCCCTCTTTTGTCCTAGCCGGTGACTCGAGGAGCCTTCGATACTGCAGAAAAGTTGATTTTCCGATCCGGTTTGCTCTATCCAACAATCGAGCACAAGGTACTTTACGCGTACACGATTTCAAAAATTTTACTGTTTCGCGTAAACCCTTTTAACGTTGGGCGCCAATTAAATAAAAAGTTATATTTTATTATTTGATAAAGTTTTATTTATTATTTAAGAAGCGTCTCGCTTCATTGAGTGGTACTTTACGACTGAACTAGAAAGAAACTTTAAAATTATTTAAAGCAAAAGCAAAGAAGACAATAAAGAGTTGCACATGTTACTGCAACGTGAGTAGAAGTTGTGGTGCAGACATAGCATCAGCAAATTCGTCCGAACTGTCCGTTGAACTTATTGCGCTACCGGTGCGCGTGGGAAAGCGCTAGGCGCAGCGAAAATATTAATTTCGTTTGAAATTTTTGAGTCGTTAACTTCTATAGTTGTGAGGCTATTGGCCTCGAGAAGTTGTTCTTTTGACTGGCTTCCTCCAAGCTACGCACGTCGTCTTCAACGGCACCGATAATGCCTTTCTCTACTATATCCTATAAAATTAAAAAAAAAAATCCACAAAAATAATAAAACAACTTAAAAACTTTATTTTTTTTTATTATATATATAATATAACACTGAACTAGTGCAAAAATGTATATAAGAAAGACTAACAAGCCATTTGAATATGATTTAATTGTATAATTATAACAAAATTATTCTGAGTATTGGCTAGTTTGAAATATCGCTGGGTTTGAGTCGTCTTGATAGTCCATCTCTAGAAGTTAACATGCCTACTTTTTCATTACAATGGTTTAGCAACCTTACTTTATGTGCTGCTGCAATTTTTAATATTTTTACGTTGACCGAGTTTACACCTTGGTCACGCTCTATGTCAGCACAATTAGTCTTAGTATTTTGTTTTGGAATTGTTGGATGACTTTCTTCCTATTTGCGTTAGCACATTCCCAGAGTTGTGCACCATAGCTCCATATCGGTCGGTACTCGTTTATAGATAAGTAACTTATGTTCGGTAGATAACACTGATTTATTACCAACTAACCAATTTATATTCTTGAGTCGTATGTCTAGCTCTTTCCGTTTGCTTTTTACATGAACTTTTCACCGTAGCTTAGAGTCGAGTGGCATTCCTAAGTATTTATTATCTCTGGCCCAAGTATCAGCGCTTGTTTGAATGTGACATATTTGCGTTTTTGGTGTTTGTAGTCTTTTACAGCTTTTCCAAAGAGTAATCGGAATTCCTTCCATTGGTTAAGAACCGAAGATATTTTGAGAACATTTCATTTTTAAACCTCTTAATTTTCCGATTAAGACCTTTCGAAACTTTATTTTACTTTATATTTATTTCTCATATATTATTGGAATATTGACAGTTCACAGCAATTTTCCTTACTCTTTGTGTGCTTCTCTAAACTTAATGTTGCATACTTGTTATAAAGTGTAAAATTTCAGATTCTAGTTGGTCTACATTTACTATAGAGTGATATTTACTTTCATAACTTTCCTTGATTTTTCTGAAGTATTCCTAATTTGTACGCTGCTGTTTTGTCTTTAAAGATGACGGTTTCACTATAGGTTAAATAGATTGGAGAATGTTCAGAGTTAAGGTCATAACTCTGATTAATCGACAGATAGTTTCAGGATCAATTTAAATTTTAGCAAAGATGCCAGGTTTGCTCTTTCGTACTAATTGCATCATGCATACTGCATTGCACACCTTTAGATGAAATCCCATATCTCCAGGACTACCCGACAAATTTCAACCAAATTTGTTATGTGATGTACTCGACCATTTCTATCATACGCTTTAATATCTTATGCCCAAAAATTGTCGAAGTCTGGCTATAACTTTTCAAGGGCTCAAACACCAAATATCTATATATTCTAACATATCGGTCAGTCTATGAGTTCTAGTTTTGAAGTTTGTATGAAATATTTTTCTGATGACAGCATGCTCTTGTGCCAAAATTTAATAAAAATCGGGTAAATCAGGGGTGTTGTAAAATCTAATAGTTGTCGGAATTATAATTGAAACCGATAAAAAAATTATGTAGTAGGTGTCATGAATTCAGATATTATTGGTTTGATGTTTTAAACTGTATCGGTTTTGGGTGCCACAGAAACTAATTTTATCGGTTTTGTTATCAGAAACAAAGTAAAAAGATAGTTGTTCACAGATTTTATATGTAAATATAGAAATTTATTTATTTTATAGTTACGAATGAACGTACCTCCATTTTGATAGGGGAAACATAAGAATTAAGCACACTATGCCATATTTATTGAATTTAGTTAATTGTTGGGTTTTTTGCACCCAATAAATCCAGATATTTTATGGGGATTTACAAAACGCAATTTAACGCCATAATAAATGCATCTTTATTCAGGCGATAAAGTATTATAAACCTGTAAAATAAGCAAGTAAATACATACAAGCATACAAATAAATGCAAGCAAGCATAAATACATCTTTATTCAGGCGATAAAGTAATTTGTATCTTCTTGTCTGTGATTGTAAATAAGGAATGCAATACTTCCTACTTTTAATTGAAATTTATACGAAAATTCCATATATGTATCATTTTACCTTGCGAGAGTATAAAATTATCGGATACATCTTAACTTAACCCTTCTATATTTGTTTTTAATTTCAATTGCCAAATTTTACTTTCCATTTTGCAGAACAAAATGTAAAGTTTGTTTACCTCAGTAAGATTTTTCACTCCATTTCAACACAAAGTAAAAACTTGCCGTTTGGCACCCAGCCTTTGCAAAACCAATTTCAATTAAACGTGACACTTAAAAAAAGAACTGTTCAAGCAAAAATAAAAATTTATTTATCGTGTCCTTAAAGACTATGAGTAGCCTAGTGGTCGGAATTAAGTTTAAATTAAATTTGAAAAAATAAAATGTTATTACAAATACATATGTATATGTATTTTGAATTAAAAGTATATCCTTAAATAAGTGTGGTGTTCTCGGTAAAGGCACCGCATAAACGTACTTCTTCGCCTGTTACAACAGCCCGCAAGAAATGTGGTCCTGTTGCTACATTCTCTCGCACTCGCAAAACATATTCTTTCATTATTAAATTGCTATGCAATTCACCCCCATTGGATGCGATAATATGTTTGCCGATGCCCTCTGCACTATTTATGCTGCAACTGTTTTGATTTTCAATAATTTCTTTAAATTTGCATTTAGCTTCTTCGAAGGTTATGTTGTTTGGGTACCCTGTTAGTTGTTCAAAGCATTTATATTGGTAGAACTGAACTTCATATTCTTCAAGTTTCTTAATTAGATTTTCAAATTGTGATTTTGTTTGTTGAATATCAGAACCTTCTATGCCAATAATCTCAACAGCGCGTGATATGAGGCATAAGTCAGTAAGTAAGGCTTCAATTTTATATTCGAAAAGGTCTAATATTTTCTCTGTTTGTAAAATATCCTTTTTAACAGAACAAATGATATCAGAATTAGTAGGTAAAAAACTTTGTTATATATATATACAATATATACATGCCTTAAACTTTATTATCGCCGCATGCAGTACCGTTATTATAACCAAATCATAGATTTCAGCTATATTCCTGGTTTCTAAATAGGATAGAACCTTTAGCGCTTCTGTTGTTTCATCAAACAAACGTTTCTATAGGTTAGAATTATACCAAGTTTATTTATTTCATTAATAAGAAAAATTATATGTCTGGTTGAAAATGTATACCTGTTTGGTAGCTGGAACCGGTTGTGCCTGTTTCCACACTGTTTGCCAAGTATTGCCTGGAATTCGCATGCGCACACTCAGTTGTCCCACTCCAAAATCATCTGAAAAAACATACATTACGTTACATTACATAAAAAAGATACATTCTTAGTTTATAACAGTTCGTTTTCGAAATACAACTCTACCTTTTTCCCAATCCTTCGGACTATACCATCGTATAAAGTCCTCCATCTTTCCCTTTGGATTTGCTGCTTTAAATGCCTCCATATCAGAGAGTAAAGAAGATGACATCATCTGAATCTTCAAACCTATTTGATTCAGAATAAATAGTGAATGAAAACAATATGTTTAACATTTCGTTCAGACCTGAACCTGATCCCAGTTTAAGCATGGCCTCTGCATCTGCTTGCAGTTCATCCTCTGTTTTTGGTACAGGATCTTGCGTTATAGGAATGTACAATGGTTCATCACTATCCAATATATTTTCATCCCCTAATCTCTTCGCGCGCCCTTCTGGAACATATTCTGTACAGTCAAAAAACTCGTCTTCGTCTTCATCGCCTGCTTCATCTGAAACTTCTTTGAAATTGGAACCCACTACTTTTAGACCTTGAGGATCAGTATCACTACCCATGTCGCTTAGACATTTTTTGCTTCCATACTTTCGACATTTGGAACGCTCAATGCAATAGTTCAGCATCTGAAGTTTTTGGTTTAACAGACAAGTACGTGTATCAGGAAACCCGCCTGACATTCTAGTAGAAAAACATGGTAAAATTAGGATTATTTTACAATGGCTATTTGCTAATAATCTACAATAATAAACAAGAAAATATATATGTATGCATTTTAAATTTTTAGCGCGTAAGATAAATAAAAGAACTAAGGAGATAATTCAATACACTCACGCCTCTATTGCGGAAGGCTTGTAGATTATAGTTGCCGTTATGCTTGCGTTGGATATTATAACATTATTAGTATTTGCGGAAGGCAACCCCGAGTTTATATTTTTAGGAATCTTTGTACAAAATATTTGGCAGCATCTCCAAATTTTTTTACAGATATCATAAAATGTCAATTATTTTTAGAATATCAATTTTGATAAATAATCATTAAAAAAAATTAAAAAATAAATAATGAAATGATAAATAATCTAATAATTTAGAGACGTTCGTAAATAAGTAAAATATAAAATGAACATATTTTTTTTAAGATATTCAATGTATTCAAACTCCAAAAAAAAACACTTTAAAAACATGAATATTTGAATATGCATATTCAAATATTGTTGTGGAATCCAAGCTAGATTTCAATGGTGTCACAGAATCTGATAGATTTTTTATTATTATTAGATAATTTTGGAAGCAATTTTATTAAAGTTTACAATGAGTTCCGCTATTTTAGTTTTTATTTGATTGGAAAAAGAAAGCAACGGAAAAATTAAAAGGAAAATATTAAGAGCTCATAGTAACCCCCTTCATGCACCAGGGGAGATTTAGCTTGCTTTTACGATACTTGTATTCTTGTATTTACATGCATACTTGACATACTTATATCACATTACCTAGTGAATAAAGACGCATTTGTTATGATGTTAACACTAAGTCAATTTCAAACCTTGCAATGAAATATCTCGAAAGCCGCTCAATCGATTTAAATGGTTTTTCATTGTAAATTAATCATTTCTTCTAAAGAATTTATGCAAAAATATCTCTAAACCTTCTACATTTTGAGATTCACATGTGGTATACCTACTTCTACGGGACCCGTTAAACTGACAGGTTAGCTGATTACGTAAACAATCCCTATATATTTTTGCTTCGCTTGTAAAATTGTATCTTCAATAGAATAGACTGAAAGAAAGGTATAAAATACCCAAACTTATTATCTCAATAGCGTAATAGACGTTAGGCTGCGATAATCTCTGAAAATATCTCTAAGGAACGACTCGGTCTTCAGTATAGTTGCTGCAGTGACAGTGGTAAGAACATTTTCGAAGACAGTGTGCAGAAGTTTTGGTTATTGTAGTCACCCGCTTATTGTAAATATTTACAATAGGGTAATTTGATTTGGGCACGGTATTTTTTACTTTATCTTATTACCCTTTTCGAGCAATCATGAGTAAAAACACGAGATATAATAAGAAATTGACCAAAATTGCCAACATCAATGAGAATTGTTCTGAGGTGTCCTCCGAAGAAGATCAGTATAAATTAGATGAAACTGATGATTACAGTGAAGATTCTGAACCCACTGAAACTGCAGAAATGGAAGGATCCTCGGGTAGTGAAGAGAAAAACTTCTTCAATATACGTCGTAACAAGAAAAGGGCACGGATTATATCTAGTTCTGACACCGAGGATGAGAGGACGAGTATTCTAAATACATCCCGGATATAATGGAAGAAATTGAAATTACAGTTGACGAGACACGGTGGGTGAGACTGAAACTGAAACTATGGTTAGGCCGTCCGTTCATACTATATTCATGGATATCGCAGGGCCTACTGGTTACGCAAAAAGAAATATTATTTCGGGTTGTGTAACTAGTGCTTTTGAATTTATAATTGACGCCCATATTATGAAACATATGAAAGACTGCACCGGAACCGAGGCACGTCGAGTTTTGAAGAACGACTGGAAAATTACAGTTTCCGAATTACATAGTTTTCAGGCAATACTATATACCCGGCGTGCTTATGAAGTAAGATCATTGAAAGTATCTTATATATGGTCCCAAAAATGGGGTCCTTCTTTTTTAAGAGACACAACGACTCTGATTTATCTCTGATTTATGCAAATTCTGAAATTTATACGTTTTGATAAACGAATCGAACGATCCGAAAAGTTACAAGCCGATAAATTTGTTCTCATATCTGAACTATGGAACAGATTTATAAGTAACCGGCTTGTTATAAACTACAGACAACTATCACAGTGAATGAACAACTGTTTCCAACTAAAGCCCGTTGCAGATTTACACAATACATGCCAAATAAGCCGCATAAATTTGGCATTAAGTTTTTGTTAGCGGTATTTTAAATGCTTTCCCTTAAAAGTGAGCTATTGTATTGTAAAAATATCGTATGCGGAAAATGCACAAAAGAAATTCAATACGTATATAAAAAATGTCTTCGATAAATATGATTAATATTTACATTATTAATATTTTATTTTTACGTGAAGCCTTAAATTGTTAAACTCATTGAATAAACTGATTTTTTTCAAATAAATACGTATTTTCATCCATCGGTCAATTTGACGGATGTTCGTAGAGATAGGTAGATACGTTTATTACGTTTTGTAAATGCTCTTGTCCGCAGATTCAATAATTACGGTATTTTGTGTTTTATTTTTATGTTTTCAGCTATAGAAATAATTCGTAACAATAAAATAAATTAATTTCTTAACTTACCTTTCAAATATGCCAACGACTATATTCTTACTTTTTTTCTGATAGCAAAACGGACAAAATTAATTTCTGTGACATTCAAAACCGATACAATTTCTGTTTCGAACATTAACCCAATAATATCTGAATTCATAACAATTCCGATTCCGGTAACTATCAAATTTTAGAACACCCCTGATTATCTTCTAATAATACTGAATGTACATATATTAAAATATAGAGTGTCGATTGTATAAGACTACTGGATTATATTTGTTAGTATACTTACGCTGAATACTATAACAGGATTTTGCTATGTGGATGACTACTTTCTGGAGACGAATTTTAGCAATTCTTCAATTGAAAACATTCGTAAATAAAAAAAAAGTAATGTGACAATATTTTCATTAAAGATATAAGTATCCAAACTAAAAAAACGCGCAAAATATGATACTTTACTAAATTTATCTTCAGCAATTGTCTGATTTTGATATATGATTATACTATATTGAAGGATGGTAGTAATTGGTAATAAGCAAAAAAAAAACCAAATGCCACTCAGCCGCGTGTGATTGGTACCCGATAACACATATCATATGTACATATATATTGGTATATGAGATTTCTTCTTGTATATATTGATAATCTATTTAATTTACATCCAATTGTTTTCAGATTAAACTTTCGCAACTTCAGAGTTTTTATTCAACAAATGCAAAATGTTCGTGGATATATATATTTTTTTCTTATCGCTCTTATTGGCTTCCATAATTTCGGGAACAATATCCCAATGCCCCTGGCAAAGAGATATATTGGAACTACAAACATCTTGCATATGTGCATATAATTTGGGACGGGAGCTTTCTGTTCAATGTGATCAGGTTTGTATTTATATAAGTGTATGTTGAAATATATTATTTAAATCATACGCACAACGTTTTTATTAGGAATATATATACATTTTTTTTTTTTTAAATAGGTGAACTTTATTTTACTTATGGACACTTTAAGTACATATGCCAAACAAAAACCGATAGATCTACTTTATATAAACAATTCAACAATCAATGAATTGCCAAACAACATCTTCGTAAATCTTAGTGTGCATAATGTACAATTGTCCAGTTGCCAAATAAGAAAAATTCAAAACGGTGCTTTTAATGGTCAAGAAACAATGTTGAAAAATCTCAATCTACAGGACAATTGGCTGACAGAAGTACCAATTAAAGCCATAAATTCTTTAAACAAACTAAACTTGCTGGATTTGTCAAAAAATCGCATTACATTTGTATCCAATGGTTCTTTCTCAAGTCTAAAAAAATTATCGACTCTGAAGTTAAATGATAATAACGTTACATTAGACATTGCAGCCTTCACTGGGCTGGACAAATGTCTTAAAAATCTTAATCTCAAAGGCACAAAACAACGTCATATCCCCGAAAGTATACGGGGGCTTAAAAGTCTAGCATTCCTTGATTTATCATTGAATGGTATTAAGGAATTACCTGGTGCTGGAGGTATACGTACGTTCGATGGACTCGAATCTTTAACTGCATTGAATTTAGAACGTAATTTTATACAAAGTTTGGGGGAGACATCATTTGCTGGTATTCGCAAAACACTGAGCTCACTCAGCTTATTAAATAATTTACTATCTGAATTCCCCATTGGAGCTATACATGCACTAAAGGAGTTGCGTGTTTTAGATATAGGCTTCAATTTGCTAACTTCATTGCCTGAAGGGGCTTTCCGCGGCAACCCCGGTATTACATTACTGGCCTTGGATGGAAATCCATTAACCACAGTACCTCAAACAGCTTTCGCACATTTAAATTCAACACTTCGTGGCCTATCACTGGGTGGCCGATTTCTACACTGCGATTGTAAATTACGTTGGGTTGCTGAATGGATCCGCAATGGCGACTTGCAAGTAACATCACGTGAACGTAACCCTCAATTTTGTGGATATCCAACTCATTTTCAAGATAGAGGATTTTACTCCATACAACCTGAAGAATTAATCTGCTCTGACATGCAGAATATATCAAGTAACCTTAAAAATATAGAAACAGATTCATCATTAATACCGCGAACCAAACCAATTGCGCAAACATCTACCACTACACCTAAAATGGAAATTCACCGTCCAGATTTATTTGCAATAAATACCTCTACTACTGCGAGTAGTTTACAAGCTTCTACAAATAGAACTTTTATGACATCTACAGCACGGCCCACAATAGATCCAGTAAGTTAAAGTGTTATATGTTAAATAAAGGTAACTTTTTTTTAATACGAGTATATACTTGTTTATAGCTAACCAAAACAAGTTCAACTATGCAGCCGATGGTAGCACCCTCTACATTATCAACTAATCCGACAATCTCTAATGGCGGAAACAATACTTTGACAATGAAGCCTTCTTTAACCAACATAGGTATCAAAGCAGTAGTAACTAATGCGATAAATAACAGTGCCAGTAATTCGCTCAATAACAACAAGCAATCGGTCACATGGCGACTGAATAGCTCCACAACATCGACAGTAATAGCACATAGCAAAACGCAAAAGCAGCAGCGTCCACCACTTGTACTAAGTTTTCCTCCACAAAGCGACACACGGTTCGACGACACTAATGAAGTACAAGTAAAGAACGCCTTTCGTCAAGACAACTCTGTCATCATTCAATGGGATTCAGATACAGCTAATATACTTGGCTTCCGGGTGGTATACCGCCTATTCGGCGAAAAGACATTCAAGCAAGGACCACCGCTAGAAGCAAGTGAGCGCGAGTTTAAAATAAAGAATGTACCAGCACAGGAATGCATTATTGTTTGTGTAATTTCATTGGAGGAATTACATGTGACTCCCGAAACGGTGCCTTATCATCAATGCCGTGAAGTACGCACAGTTGCTTCACAGACTTCTAACATGGACAAGATAACAATTGCAGCAAGTGCGGCAATATGTGGTACAATTATTGTAGCAGTAATTGTATTTATAGCCGCAAGTAGGTAAGGTCATTTGTTTTAAACCGTCTTATTACTTTGAGCGGTTGTTTTCTTGTAAAATGTTTAGATGAATGTATTTACGAAAGTAAAGCAAACTTTTAAATTTCTACCAATATTTCTCTCTAATGATCCATTCATAAATATTCCGTATAGCATTTAGATTTTCTTTTATTACGCAATAGCGCATACGTCCAGTTGATTACTCAATTATTCTGATTCAGATTAGATGATAATTTTTATAGAAATTCCTTCATAAAATATCACTGAACTAATAATTCATTAGAAATTAGAAGTAATCAACAAAAAATATGCACATATAACCATATATTAATTGCCACATCGTTGAATTTCAAATATAGACGCTCGCGTAAACTCCAGAATACGCAAAAGAAGAGCCCTTTACCTATTGGGGGATTACCAGTAAGCTGTTGCGGACCAGCAGTATCCCCAGGACCTCTGGGCTCCATCGCCACTTTATCCGCATTTAATAATCATAAGGTAACAGTAGAATAATTATTTAATATACATACATGATTTGGTGCAAATCCAATAATAAGCGCCTTTTGCTTTAAAATGTTTGTGTAATAAATTGAAATCGTCAAAAATTAATGCGAAATCTCAATTTTAATTTAAATGACAATAGAAAAACTTTTAAAAGCGTATTATTTGATATAAATTATTGATTTTTTTCGAAATACACAATTTCTTAACAATACAATAGCAAAGGCCACAAACATTTTAACGGCATACTTATATGCATCAATAATTAAACTAGTGTAATGCGGATTGCGCCCTTCGCGTCGGTTGGGCGGGAGGAAGGTAATCGTTGGGTAATTAATTAATTAATTAAACTAAATTTAAATAAATTAATTAATTAAGGGCGATCGTAAATAAGTAGGAAAGTAATTTTACTAAATTTGTGTAGATTTAGTAATGAAATTATATCAGTATATACATATATTTTTCTTACTACAGGAATGGGATCAAGTTTCTGCATATAGCGGTCGATCGATTCCACGACCACGAATTTATCCCGTAGATAATCAAGACGATATGCGAAGTAATTTTTCTGGTATGCCTGGGAAGGTGGGTAAAGCGAGGTATGTCATTTTTTATAAACTTAAATATTCTAGTATCAACATCACATTTCCTGCCCATCGAATATTTAATTGAATAATGTTTGAACACATTTCTACGACTTCTAAAATGTAATATGAGCATTGAAATTTTTAATTTACAAATTTTTTTTTTTTTTCAAATTGACAACTATAACTTATGTTTCCATGTTAATTAGGTAGTGCATTCGAACAATGGCTATAGTTGTCAATGCAAGCTATCGATAGTTTTGTTTTTGCTTCAGCTCTAATGGTAATGACATTATATTAGTCTTTTTATATCAAAGTTCAAATGAAATTATCATGCGACCAGTATTAATCGTTGTTGGTCTATTGTGAATTGAGTGGTTATTCCAGTCTAGTTAAGACACTTAATTAAGACTTAATTTTAACAATTTATTCTGGGAGTAAGGAAACAAGAGACCGAATCGCTTTCTTTCAGGCTTTATTAATCTTGTACTTCTGTGTATAAAACATGTTAATATTAACATTTACTGGATACATTTTTACATGTTCAAGCAGACTGACTCAAAGGTTTCGACATTTCAGCGGATTTGATAGAGAAAAATTTACTTTTTCATAGTTATACCAATTAATTAATGATTTTAGACCCCTTAGTGTACTTTAAGCAAAAATAAAAACCCGTGTTTTTGAAAACCTTCGACTGGCCTAACCTCTTAGTGCAATAATTATTGAAAACAAATCGAGGATTGTGCCAGATAACTTCAAAACATTAGAATTTATAAAAATGGTATTTAAAATCTTTTCTCATTCAATACTACTTAGATTATCGAAGTATGATTCATTGCAGAACCTTCATCTAAAAAGAAGCAAAAAATATTAGCACGATTTGTTTTAGTTTAAATCGCGTGCTGTAATCCTACTAACTATCGCAGAAATACCAATAAATGATATAGAATTGGCAATATCTTTCAAAACATCTGGAATAGTAAAATAATAAATTCGTGTTATATTCTAGTATGAGAAGAATCTTATTGAAACGTATATGACTAATGTTTTTTTTTTTTGATTCCACATTTCAATTCATGTGATACACAATCCTCACAAATCACGTCCCTCTACATCCACATTGGAATTCAAACAGATCAATAGCTGATGGTCAATCCCACCACAGTTTTTCAAATAATTCACATCGCGGCTACTTAGGCGCTGCGTTTCCGACTAATTTGATTAACTCTCGACCAGAACTTCGACAATCCAGACAGTCTTTAGCAGCCGCATCGGAACGTTTGTCGCGCGCTTCACATGCTGGTTCCACGCATGGTCCAACCAGCATAACTTCAAGTACGAGGCGCTCACGTCCACGGTCGAGATCACGCGAACAACTTAATTCAACACATATACATAATCATAGACCTGGCAGCCGGTAAGTATTAATTAAAAAAATAATAATGCTCTAATACGTGGGTTTGATCAACGTTTCTGGCATCCAAAAGATTTCCTATTATAAAGATTTTAATTTTCCAAAAAAATATTCTACAAAAACGATTCACTTAAAAATATTGTTTTAGCAGAATATCTAAGTCTACTATCTAATATTAAGATTTAAAGGCAATAATAAATTTTCAACGCCATTTCCGATTTAAGGTTTAAACTATTCTGAAGAGCGGCAGTATTCTTTCTGAGGATCAAATTTAATTAAATTATATTTTAACATTTTTCATTTTGAAATTTTGTTGCATTTATACATATACATCTTTATATATTATATCAAAATACTATATATACATATTTCATATGCACGCAATCATTGAATATTCTAATTTATATATATATACACATAAATTAACTTGTTTACTTTTTAAATCTTACTATTTTAGATATTCTCAAGCTGGTTCAACGCATACGATAAACAACTACTGTGACACATCTGACAACTGGACTGACCACGATATGGACATTTACATGGCAAGGAACCCAACAACGCGCAATGGTCTGGTGCCATTATGAGGGCAGGTTTTATTATCCTGATATTTCTATGATGTATTAACTTCAAACGAGATTTTCTGGTAAAACGTTACGAATTTACCTAATGTTGGAATGGAGTGGCGTCATTATTACAGCCATTAATCGAAATGACATTGTATTGCTCATGATTACGAACATTACACACGGCCATATCGAAACGATATCTGAAATAACTATAATAAGAACACATATAATTCTCAAAATATGGCTTAAATTTATATATGTATTGTTCACATTTCAAAGCACCCTTATAAACAAATAGTCAACGAAACTAGAACATACATGTCATTTGGGTCACGCCGAGTTTTCGAAATTATACAAGTACACATACTGATCGCAATGAAATGTAACCTCGTATATGGGTATTCGTAATAGAGCATAATTACACTTCTACGGAGAGCGACAAAATTTTTTTTCGAAATGATAGTAATTTTTATAAAAGAAAAGGTATTCCTAATATACCAATACAGGGCGATAATAGATTTAATTTTCCACGTTTATTTTATTAGTATAAACATTTTAATACTAATAGTTTAGTAAATGCGGAGCAATGGCAATAACAACCCATGATAATTTATTTTTACATTAAAATTTAAATATTTTTAAGTTATTTACCGCTTGTATATTTTGTATATGGATATGTACGCATGTATAATATTGTATAATATTAAAAAACTTGCAAACGCTTAAATATATATTTTTCGACAACTTTAATTATATATTAAATGAAATATACATTAGTAATTTATTACATAAACTTCTTTTGACATTACCATTCAGAAGTAAAGCAAACTTGAAAAAAGTAAAGTACTTTCTTTGCAATTTTAATCTGGTTAATTTTTTTTTGCAAACTAAGTTTAAATTTGAGGCCAAGCAACATTTTTGTCAATGTGAAAGTGATATGAGTTGATTTTGCCAATATTGTAGGCTTCGCAACTGGAAGATCTGTGTAAATGCTCCAAAATCAGTAGTCTAGCTGTGCTTGTGCAGTTTCAGCAGCTTCGCTAGCCGAGTAAGCTGATGAGAGTATAGCAAAGCCGTCTGCATAGGTGACAACCGGTAAATTATGGTTTTCCAGTATTGGCATATTTGTGGTGCATAGTGTTGGTCCCAGAACACTACCTTGTGGGACTCCTGCCTTCATCTCGTGTTTGTCTGAGATTTCATCTTGAAGTTTAACGTAGAAATACCTGTGACTCAGATAAGACCTGACGAAAAGATAAAGTAGAGTAGGTAGTATCTTTTTGGTTTTATATAGTTAACCATAGTGCCAGACTCTGTCAAATGCTTGCCGAACGTCTGAAAAATTACACTACAATATTTGTCTCCTCCAAGCTACTAAGTATGTGACAGAATATTGTCAGCAGGCTTGTTAGTCTATGTGAAAATAATTAATTTTGTGGCTTGTTTGGCTTTGGTATCATTATAATTGCAGCACATTTAGACTGCGTGGGGAAATGGCTCAGTTTGAAGCTACTATTTAAAATCAAGAAAATAATATACATTTCTTAAAAAGGTTTTTGAGTGTCCAAGCGCCGATATATCATGACCTGGAGACTTTAATTTATTTAATCGCGGAATTTCAGACGGTACCTCTGAAAGCCTTACGTGCGTAAGAGGTTTAGGTATTTCGACTTAATGACGTTGGCTGGTATTACTGCAGTTTAATCACTCAAATATAGCTTTAAGATGGTTGGTTAACGCGTGTGGTTTGCTTATGTTTAATCTGCACCATATATTTTTAGTATCTTTAACCGGATCCTGTCTTATGGTACACCGTTTTAAGTTCTTATGACTTTCCAGATGTTATACTCATCGTCGTTGTTTGAATACATTTTTTTTTAGATGTTCTCCAATAAATTATTCTTTAAGTTCCGCTAATTCTAAAGGCTATTAATGGATTCCTGCTGTTGTGCCAAATCCTTGGAAGTAGCCTCTTGCTCTTAACTAATTCAGAGATTTCATCAAAATATGGTTATGTGTTTCTACGTGTTCGAGAAATTTTAATGCCACAGTTGGTTTAGGCTAAGAAGGCGGTTTTGTGTATTTTGTTAGTAAATGTCTCTACTGCATCATCTAAATCTCTAGTTAAGTTTATATCCATGTTAAAGTCTATATTAAACAAGTTTTATGTCGGATCTCTTATTTATGATACGCTGCTTCTGAGCAGTCAGTAGAGCAGACAAATTAAAATGAATAATTAGAAAGGAATGGTCTAAGCTAAGATAGTAATTATTTATTATTTCAAGCAGATTTGTGTGATGAAATGAACAGCAAATTCGATCAAATCAGAGGCCATGCAGGGATATGTGGGCCAGTAAGTGGAACAGCCAGTAGATAGCACGTTTAAATTTGTTTCCATAATGCATGCATATAGTTCGCGATCTTTGGGATTAGTAAGACGAAACCCCCACCATGGATGTTTGGAATTGAAACTACTGAAATTGAAACGCGGGGTAGATACAGTGCGGTTATGACAATCCCTCCATTAATGCTAGTGATTTCAACGGACGCGGCTTGAACTAAAGGCAACGATATAGGTTCCAATCTCTTATATTTTGAAGTTGACTTTACTATAATTGCAGATCCGCCATGTGCTTTACCATCAGGATGCAAGTAATAAGATCATAACCATTAACTAAAAAAAAAGACGAAATCACGAATGTATCTGCTTTGTTAGTTACAATAAAATGTGATATCTATGCTTGCTAAGTCCATGTGCGTTTTAAATTGCCATCTTAAGACTTAATTGAATAATTTTAAAACAAGAGAAGACATGAGGTCAATTTAGTTAAAAATCAGCGCTTCTAACTTTTCTAAAGTTCTGTGGCTATCTGCAGCAGTGCTTTGTTGTCCTTTTGTAATTTCTACGTAGCTGAATTTGTTGTTGTAAACGGGTTGCTCAGGATTTGAGCGAATGTCGACTTTAGGTCTAAGATTATTATTAGTCGACTTGTTTGGATCTGGTTAGTCCTTGGAGTTGGCAGAGAGCCTTTTTCGCAAAGAGCGGTCTGGTGGTCCTCTTTTGTTGTTTGCTTATGGTTCTACTTGTAGGTCAGCAAAAAATAGTGACAATGTTTCTTACAGTGCGACCTTTTTGAGATAAGTCAAGTTTAATGTCGTCTATGGGTGTGGAATAGTGAATATTTTTTATTACAATTTTATAGGGATTATCCTTTTTTAACTAATAAGTGTGAAAAATTGTCTTATTAGAGTCTAAAGAGTCATTGTTTGCAGGCATAACTCTGGCTTGCACGTCTCTGCCTGACTTGTTTGAAAAGTTTTCTCTACCAATTAGAGTTGAGAAACTGATTGTCATTTTATTTATTGTATATTGTTAACTTGTGGTATGAAAATAGGTGGTGGTTTGAAAACACTTGCAGTTGTCTCTGCGTATTGCTTATTATTCTTATCAATAATACACATCACATTCGACAGTTTTTTAAAATTTTAATGCTCTGGATTAAAATCAACCATCGAAATAATTGCGAAGCACTACTCTTTCCACTGTTGTATAGACTTACTGGCGGCCACCATCAACTCTTTACACGGGCTTACATCAACAATTGCTTCAACCTTTCGTACTTGAAGATCCGTCTTTCAGTATTCAAATGACATATTTATTATTGGGTCAGGCAGTAGAAAATTTCCGTCCAACCACTCTTTGTTTCGCTCTTCAATTACTGCTATTATTCCGTGGCTAGGTCTCCACTTTTCTATAAGTATACTCACAAAATTTCGCACTTCTTTATTTTGTTGATTTTATCGCTTTGATATTTACCTTCACCAATAAATTCATTTAAAACATAGCTTTCAACTGCAGAAAACTTCTTTGTTGGCACTTCTTCATGGCGCCAAATTTAAAAGAGGGTGCTTTTTGAGTATGACAATTTAGCTAAAAGGATCGAAATCTTTAAATCTTGGAAAACTAGAAGGTAATTTTTCACATTTTACATTCATAATATGACCCTTGGATATTATTAACAAAATATATAATTACTAGCCCGAATTAATATAACATTTAAGTTGTGGAAGATCGGCGAACACAAAAAATTGCACATTATGTGGAAGATTAACTTCAAGGACGAAGCAACACGAACTCAAATACGCAAAATACACAGAAATTATTTATTAAGCAAATACATGTGAGATTAGCGTATCATCGTATGCAACCCAGACCTGAAATGACATACGCTTGTATGCAAACCTTCACACCGTATCGACTTATCGAAAGGTACGAGGACAGTGACGACGAAGAGACACTTTCTCACGCGCACTTGACTGATACAGTTGAACCTTTACTTATAAACTTGTAAAATTTAATTAACTTAAATAATGAATAAAAGATTTGTGTTTCCTAAAAATAAATCAAAAAAGTGTTATCATTATAATTCCAACAAGTGGTGCCATAAATTCGACTGACTGGATGCGCGTCGAAATAGAGTGTTAAAAAGGTGCGTGAAAAAAACCTTAAAAACGGTTTCGTGAGTGGATGCTGATACGTGTCCAAGGTATGTGAAAGTAAAAGTGCTAGAAAATTGCAAGTGCGTAGACGTTAGAATGTTGTAAAGTTTTACAGTGGTTTTTTGTGTGACGCAATTAAGTACTGTGCCGGTGAAATAAATTGGAAATTGGCAATTTTAGAACGGCAAATTCAGATTTCAGTAACACAGTGTGAAAAACGGTTCACGTAAAGCAAATTTTTGTGAAATTGACTGTTTCGTGTGGTACATAACTTTTTGTAAGAAAAGAAACTGTACGTGAGGAGCGCCAGCAAGCAAAAATCAACGGTAAATTTAAGAATAGACGCTGTCGTCAAATGGTATCATACTGTAGCTAAAGAGAGCAGCGAGTGAGAGCACAAGCATGTAGAATGCAACATAGTGTTGGGTTGTCTTCGTAAAGCGTAAGCAACAAAGAGTATAGTTGGCAACTATTGACAAATTTTGTGGACTAGCGCAGTGTCGATGCGCTGGTAACTTTTGACAAGTGCGCTAGTGGTCAAACTAAGGTTCCGAGAACAGTGCAGAGGAAATCGTAAGCAGTTGAAGCGGTCAGCAATCAGTTAAAGGAGCAGAAAAAGAATAAGTATAATATATAAACATAAGCAAAAGACAGATATGAGTTAAGTAATTAAAGGAGAGTAATTGTAATAGCAAATTGTCAAAAGAAAAGAAAATAATTTTTATAAAATTTAAGAGTATAGTAAAGAGCAAATACAATATTTTGGCCAACATACCGATTATTAAAACTAATAACTTATATTGTTGAAAACTAGCTTATGTTTACTACAAAATTTGTAAAAAATAACTAAAAACCTTAATTATATTATGAGTTAATTCATAAAAATTTGAATTTCTAATCTAACTTGTCTAGGAGGATAATTGTGACAACTAATTGTCTTAAATTTGAATTTAATATACAAGAATTAATTCAGTATTTAGCTATATATATTTTTGCTTTTATTAACATTCGATATGAACAGGGAAAAAATTTCTTTATTGACAGTGAACGGTTTGAATAAAAAATTAATATCACTGGGTTTGTCGACAAATGGCCGTAAAGTGACATTACAAGACAGACTTTGTGAACATTTTGGACTGACTTCAGATGACGAAAACGATGGCTGTGACAGCGAAACTAGCTCAGTGTGAAATAACATGTTGACGGCGATGAGATCGGAGAGCTCGGTTTTCACCCATAGCAATATTGAAAGATCGTTTTCAATTTTTAGTGGTACAGCCAACACCCAGTTGAGGAGTGGGTCGAAAATTTTAATTCCAATGCCACGACAGTCGGGTGGGGGTTCATAGTCAAAAGTTCGTATATGGGTAGCAATTATTGAAAGGTGCTGCGAAAATTGTCGTTCCTAAACAATGTTTACAAAAAAAGTTTGGTGTAATAACATCGTAATTCGAAGTACATCGGGCACTTAGGAATCGGCGAAAGCACCCAAACGAAAATTGCCGCGAGTATCTTTATAGCCTAATGGAAATAGATAGACCAATAAAATTAGACGGAAAAAGTATCATCGAATATTTTGTAGAGGGGATCACAGACACCAGGCCAAACAAAGTTAATTTGTTCAGGCTAGTTCGATAGAAGTATTGAAAGCTGAGGTCCTTGTTTATGAAAAGGTTCGCTCGGGGCGTCAATCCAAGCACATTTCAAAACAATCGTGAAGACAATAAGCATGTTTCCAAAACTCAGGGAACTATTATAAAACGTTTTTATAGATGCCAGGAAGCGGGTCATTTGGCAAATACTTGCAAACAGCAATGACAATCAACGTATTTTGGGTGTAATCAGCCAAGACATCGTATCGCAGAAGAAAATGGAGGTGAAGAGCGAGGGTGCTAAAGCGAATACGCTAGAAATGATGCGTATGGCGTCCACTGGCTGTGTACATTTCAAAGGATTATCTAGTAATGGGTTAACATTGTCAGCATTGCTAAACACTGGTAGCGATCTATGCCTCATGCGTTACGACGTGCTGATGATGCTGGGGAAGATTGATCTGTCCAATGATATAATATAAATCTTCGTGGAATAGGAAATAATATCCTTACAACTATTGGTACTTTCGTAATTAAAGTTAGCGTAGATGAAGTCGAACTGGATAGCACCTTCCACGATGTGCGCGAGCGTAACTTTATTTAGGAGGCAATAATCGGGAATAATCATAGCAGGTTGATTTGGTCATAACTGAAGGCGAAGTAAAATTTAGAGCAAAGTTGAAGGAAACGAAGGTTCCAAACCCTATAGGAGAGAAAAGTAAAGGTAAAATCGACGTTCTTAACGAATTTAGAGTTTGTGTGTAAGACCGCAGAAGTAATGTCAGAGAAAAATTTGCAGGTAGATTTGTCGCATCTTCAATGAGAACAAGAAATGCAGTAGTAAGCACGATTCCCCAGTTTCCATGAAAATTTTTTTAACTGATGATAGTCCGATATTTCAAGGGCCAAGACATATGTCCTACTCCGATAGGTACATTGTCGAGCAAGGCATAATCCAGCTTACCGTTTTCGAGTATGCATAGCCGATCGTATTGGTGGGAAAAGACGGAACCAAACGTTTGTATTGTCATGAAGGAAAATTTTCCAATGCCGCGGATGATGTTATTGTGAGATTACAAGGCGAAAAAGTACTAACAACGTTAGATTTACGGAATGCGTTTTTCCACATGCCGATAGAGTCGAGTTCGCGGAAATATATATATAAATCAATACGAATTCATTTATATCTCCTTCGGTATTTTCAATTCTCCAGCAGTATTCACTCGGTACATTTTTGCAGTGCTTCGGAACTTCGTGAGGGATGGTGTCGTGGTAACTTCCATGAACGGTCTTATAATTCCTTCTACTATTTTTGAACAGGGTGTAGATAGGTTAAAAGCTGTGTTAAACAGGGCGGCTGAGTATAACCTCAGGATTAATTGGGAGAAATGCCAGTTCCAGAAGGCGACTGTTAATTTTTTTTTGCATTATAGATCGTGATACAATAAGACCATCAGTAGCGAAGACTCAAGCAGTAAGCCATTTTCCGATACCTATGGATAAAAAAAGCGGTGCAAAGATTTCTAGGACTTCTTATCGTTTCATAGAAGGGTATGAAGTAGTCGCCAAACCCCTGTCTGACCTGTTGCGTAAGGATGTTGCTTTTGTGTTTGGGAACGAACAGCAGGCATCGCTGCAGCAACTGAAAGCTTCTCTGGTTAGTGCGCCAGTATTACGGTTATACATACAATCCGAAGGCTCTAACTGAAGTTCATACGGACGCTTCGATACGTGAATATGGTGGTATACTCTTACAGAAAGATAGTGAAGATTTGTGCTTTCACCCAATCTAGTATATGACAAAGCCAGCAGAAGAGAAGTACCATTCGTACAAGTTGGAGGCGTTAGCGATTGCCGAGGCACCTAAAAAGTGGAGGGTATATATTTTAGGGCTTCATTTCAAAATCGTTACTGCTACTCTGGAAATATTTTTAAGGATTACTGTGTGAGGGAAGATACAGAGCATCAGGTAATAGCTACAGGTGTTCCTCGGGGCAACGGGTGAGGGTCCACCATCGCCGATTTCATGAAGAAATGGTAACCTTCGTTCGGTCTAAAACAATAAGTCAGGAAGGCCGAATGTCGGATTAGCGCATAATTGTATGTAACCCTAACCTGAAATATCATACGTATGTATGCAACACTACACACCCTCTTTGACTTAACGAAAAGACTTGATGAAAGGACAGAGCACAGCGGCGAAAAGGAGACACGCTCGTTAAACTTCACACGCAACGGACGTACTATATAATGCGCGCGCACTTGACTGATACATTTGGGCCAAAAAACCTTTACTTATAAACTTAATAGCTTTTGTGAAATAAACTTTGTAAAACTTAATTAACTAAAATAAATGAATAACTATTTGTATTTCCCAAAAATATATTTAAAATTGGGAAATAAGTATTACTCCCACATACAAACTAGCTTTTTTCAATTAAAACTTTAAAATCATCAAAAGTAAACAAAATTATAAAATTTACAAATACTGGTGTATATTTGTACCGAAATAAGGTGTGAAAATTTATGCATACACTTTTTGGCACAAATACGTCAACTTTGAAAGTTTACAGCTGTGCGAATGCAGCACACACCTCTCTGAATGAAGCTGCACTTCGAAGCAGTGTTCCTACTGCTACCTTAGTTGTAGGCACTTCTGCTTGAAATATATTAAAGTGGTCTGGTATCCTGAAGCTAAAGTAAATGGAGAGCTCTTGAAAGCAAACTCTCCCTCGAACCTACCTCCGCTCATATATCTCATGTTGGCATGTACGCAGAGAAGAAATCACAAATTTTTAGTTTTTATACCCTGAACAGGGTATATTAAGTTTGCCACGAAGTTTGTAACACCCAGAAGGAAACGTCGGGGACCCTATAAAATATATATATAAATGATCAGCATGATGAGCTGAAATGATTTAGCCATGTCCGTCTGTCCGTTCGTCTGTATATATGCAAACTAGTCCTTCAGTTTTTGAGCTATCGATCTGAAATTTTGCACCTGCCCTTTTCTCACCAAGGAGCTGCTCATTTGTCGGAACGGACGAAATCGGACCACTATAGCATATAGCTGCCATACAAACTGAACAATCGGAAGCAAGTCCTTGTATGGGAAACTTTTTTATTTGACGTAATATCTTTACGAAATTTGGCAAGAGTTATTCTCTAAGGTAACAATATAATTCCCGAAGAAATTGTTTTGATCGGATGACTATAGCATATAGCTGCCATACAAACTGAACGATCGGAATCAAGTGCTTGTATGGAAAACTCTTTCATTTAACGAGTTATCTTCACGAAATTAGGCATGAGTTTTTTTTAAGGTAACAATATAAATCGCTAAGAAATTGTTTGGATCGGATGACTATAGCATATAGCTGCCATACAAACTGAACGATCGGAATCAAGTGCTTGTATGGAAAACTCTTTCATTTGACGAGTTATCTCCACGAAATTAGGCATGAGTTATTATTTAAGGCAACAATGGAATCTCCGAAGAAATTGTATTGATCGGATGAATATAGCATAAAGCTGCTTTTTCATTCGACGAGGTATCTTGACGAAATTTGGCATGAGTTATTTTCTAAGGCAAGCATATAATCTCCGAAAAAATTGTTTAGATCGGATCGCTATGTCATACAGCTATCATATAAACTGAACGATCGGCATAAAGTGCCTGCTTGGAAAAAAATTTTATTTTTTATTGCCGATTCACGAAATTAGATCTGAATAAAGTTATTATAAGGAACCTTTTTACCTGTGAAGGGTATTATAGCTTCGGTGCAACCGAAGTTAACGTTTTTTCTTGTTTTGTTTTCAAATTACATTTAAATATGTGAATTCGGTTTTCAGAACAGGGCATTTCATTTAGAAATCACATCAAAAAATTATTAGATTTCTGGAATAGGCTAAATCGATTTTCAAACCGCATCACTGCGTTTGTATGTGAAAGTAAAATACAGATCATAACTGATTATTTATTTTTCTACTATTTTGCATTCTTATAATGAAATATATGAATACAAAATAAGCTTTGAATGAAAATATAAATGTACATATGTATATCTGTTTAAACAATCAGTTTTCGACTGCACGAGTAAGTTTTCAGAACAAAAATAAACATTGAAATAACATATAAATGTAGATATTTATATGTGAATATTCATGAAATTCCTTTTCCTCCATTCGCATGTCGAAATATATTTGCATATATGTACACATATGTACTGTGGAGCTGGTGATTTGAATATTTTCACTTCACTTGTTTTATAATTGTATTTGTCTAATATTTTTAACTTCTGAAGTTTATGCTGAGTGTTCGGATACATTGGATGAAGTGTGTATTTGTCTAGGTAGAGCGTCTCTGCTACTACGTTTTCATGTCCTGGTTTATATTTTAGAGCAGTTCCATATTATTCTATTTGGTTTTTCCACCTCTTTGGGTGTGCTTTCGGATTATTTTTTGATATCGAATATATTAACGTTTGATAGTCTGTATACACATATGGTTAGGTGTGCTATTCTATATAAATAAGTCCTAAGTTTTTGTAAAGCCCAAACAATAGCTAACATTACTTTTTCGTTTTTTGAGTAATTATGTTCTGTCTGGCTCAGTGTTCTTGATATAAATTGTATAGGATTTTTACCCTGGCTCAATACTGCTCCAATTGCATAGTTAATAGCGTCAGTTAGATCGAATCCTACAAATCCTACCTGTAATAGGAAGCTAGCCCTAGAAAAGATCGAAGTTATTTTAGATTTTTTCGAATTGGATATTCATCTATAGCTTTGATTTTATTGGGGTCTACATAGATAGATAGAGGCACAATAGACCATGGTCGCGGTGCAAACCTAAGCATTATGCCATTTTTTTTATTATGTGTCCCGGAAATTCTGTCTACTTTTGAAAAAAATTTGACTTATTTTCTGATACATTCATGATTGATTTGTAAAGAGTGTTTATTATATCTGAGATATCTTTCAAATGCTGCTCTAGCGTATCTATCAATACAAACATACGCACATTTAGCGATGAAAGGTCAGAGAATGCCATCTACGCATTTCTGAAAAGTTGATGGTGCTTTTTTTAATCCAAATGGAAGCCTGAGGAACTCATATTTACCTCTATTTACTGGAAAAGCTGTTTTTTTTCTGTCCTTCTTCTTAAGCATGATCTGATGAAATCCTGATTCTAAATCTAGAGTGGTGAAATATGTCATATTTCCTAGGTTTTGAAGTGTCATTGTAATGTCCGGAATGGGATATCTGTCAGCTGTTGTTTGTTTGTAAAATTTTTGGAAATCTATAACCATTCTTCGCTTGAGTTGTCCATCTTCACCAGTTCCTTATTCGGATACTGTCCATATGGGTGAATTATAGAGTCTTTTACTAGAATGTATTATTTTATTTTTTAACAGTTTGACAAAAGTTTTCCTTCTTTAATCAACCTACAGTGCGTTCCAAATTAAACAGAACTTTGAACAAAAAGACAGAACAAATGGTTTTATCGGCAAAATCAATTAACTTTATTCAAAATAGTCTCCTTCCGCTTTAATACAGTTTTTTGCACGGTCCCAAAGCATGTCGAACGAGTGTTTTAGCTCGTTTCCCGGTATGATCGCCAGTATGTCGGTGCAAGCCTTTTGAATGGCCTCCACGTCTGCATAACGCTTTCCTTTCATCGGCAAATGAATTTTTCCGAAAAGGAAGAAGTCGCACGTTGCCATATCAGGTGAATACGGAGAGTGGTTGATTGTTAAAATGTGATTTTTGGTCAAATAATCGGCCAGAAGCGTCGATCGATGAGACGGCGCATTATCGTGCAACAAACGCCAACTTCCATCTTCGCGATATTCGGGCTGAACACGTCGAATACGGCGTACCAAACGCTTCAAAACTCCAAGGTAGAATACTGCATTAACGTTTTGGTCGGGTGGAATAAATTCTTTGTGGACAATACAATTGGAATCATAAAAACGAATCAGCATTGTCTTTACTTTTGACTTCTCCAGGCGCGATTTTTTGGGTTTCGGCTCGTCCGGCGCCTTCCATTCAGCACTCTGGCGTTTCGTTTCGGGATCATATTGAAAACACCACGTTTCGTCACCAGTCACAACCTTGTAAAGAAAGTTCGGGTCTTTTTTTGCCTCTTTAATGATGTCCTTCGAATGTTGAGTTCTGAGCAATTTTTGGTCGCCAGTCAATTACCGCACCGATTTGCACCGATGACAAAAACATACTGACACTTAAAACGCAATAACTTCACTTCCAATAGATGAAATGTCATGAAATTGGAAAGTCGATAAAGGATAGCAGATTCTAACGCACTAGTCGACATATAAATGCCGCCACTAGAGTTTACTTTGTTACTTTTTTACTGTTTACTATGGAACGCATCTTGTATGTTTGTGGGCAAAGTTGTCATTTGGTTTTTTCAACGTTTTGTCAGAAATAAAGGAGGATTTATATCATATTTATATATTGATTAACTTATATTGAGACATACTGATATCTTAGGGCTTATTTACATAATATAACAATATTTACGTAGAAATATAAATACACATAAATTCATACTTATTTAAAATAAATTATTATTTTTAAATAAATTCGATTAATAAAACTATATTTGAAATAATTATGTGGCAGTGCGCCCCTGATCCCTCCTTGATCGTTCAACTTGCTTCTCACAAAAAGCAAAAAGTGTGGACAAAAGTCAGTGTTTGTGCGGGGCAAGAAGAAGCAAGCATCAGCGTACGTGTATTTAAGAATGTACATATCTGTGATTGTCACAATTGTGTAAATATACGCTTAAATAAGGGAATATTCAATAAACCCAAACATATGAACATATTTTCCTGAAATATTTTAATTATCTCGGGAAGTAAAATATGCTATTAAAGTAATTGAATCGAGATGGGATAAAATGTCAAATAAAATAAAATACAAATAAAAATTAAGATTAATGATTTATAGGATTCGATCGTAAGCGTTTGTATTCGGAATGGCTTAGCCTCTTCACGCTTACGACCTGAGCCACCGCAGAAGTGAAATCGAGGCCGCTTATCCACTGTTTTATTGTTGTCCTTTGCCTATTAGATATTGTTCATGCAACGCACAAAAATGTGTTGAAGAATTTTTCTATTAATTACTTATTTTGTTGTAAATTCTGGGATGTTCCCTCTTGTGAAAAGTAGTACTTTTTAACATTTGCGCCTTCTCTATTTATTAACATTCTCAGACAACACAACATATCACAACACCGCGCCTGTACACCAGCAACTAACAAAAATAGGACTGGATCATCCCGCCCAATGTATTCGTTGCGAGAGAGATCAACGCGCTACACCTTTCGTTTTCATAGTGGAATTGTCCACTATTGCACAAATATTTCATTTTAATGGTTCAGTGTGAGAAACACAGTGCGCTCCCCGTAAAATTGCGTGTTAATTTGTTCCAATGTGCTTTATGTTTTAGTGCTTTATCCTTACCTGTACCTTTGTAATAAAGTGTTTTAGCATATGTTACCCGATTTTCAGTGGAATAAAAGTTGGGTGGATTCACCGGATTCGCCCCAAAGTTCTATATCTATTGAGTCTGTCAAATTGAAAAATTAGCTGAAGATTTCTGCAAGTTTTTGATTTTTTGCGTTTCTTAAGCGTCGAGATCTCACTTAGGATTTAAAATTACGTTATTATAAATTGTTACGATTTAATTATTAAGAGAAAACAATATAGTATTTTGAATTTTGAAAAGTAAGTCAGATAAATCAAATGTGCAGGAATGAGGATTTAAAGCATGACATATGCTGCAGAAAGGCTCGTTTAGTTCAAAATTTGATCTACAAGTATAAGATTTTAACCGTAAGGGTCGAAACTGCATCGAGAAGCGAGCAGAGATAATAAATTTAACTTCAGACAAGGGAAAAATGCAAATTGTTCCTTTCAGGATTTTCACTAAGAATATTATGTCAAGCATTTCTAGTCGTAGGGTAGATCTAAGTGTGGGTAGATTTATAAGTTTTAAACGACTAGTGTATGGAGGAAAACTTAACCCATCAGAAGACTAAAGCCATCGAAAATCGCTATGGATTTGGTAACTAGGGTTCCGTACCACAGAACCATATGCCTATATAGGTCTAACCAAAGTTGTATAAAAATTTTAGTAACATACGACAACACACAAACACTAAAAACTTTTTTCAAACCATGGTTTAAGCTTAGGGTCCATAGTAACTCCCAAATCAACAAAGTTAAAAACTTGCTCTAGTCTATAGTTCTTCAAATATCCTTGAACATATTTATCGTCGACAATGCCGAAACAAAACATATAAACATAAACAAACACAAAGAAACAAATGCATACATGCATTTAACACTTAACAATACAAAGCATACCTAATATTATCTATGCAAGATATACACATACACATGCAGGACAATGCAATGGACATATACACACATTCAGGTAGATAAAATAGATCTTAAAAATAGTAAACAAGCAATGAAAATAGTAAAATAAAATCAGAATGAAATAGTACTCACTAGATGACGGTGTCTGTCAATTTTAGCCCCCACTAGAGGTAAGATATTATTATACAGCTCGTTAACATTTGAGCCTTCGAGCCGGATGAGAAGCTCAAGCCAAAAATAAAAAGACCTGAATTGATGAGCATATATACATAATTTGGTCTTCCAAGCAAAAAATTAAAAGTGTTGTATTGATAAGCATAAAGGCTATATTAAAGATTTTATCTAAACGAATCAAGAGAGCTCAATCCAAATCCTTAAACCCTGGTATTATTTAAAAGAAGAAAACCGATAATTTAGTTAGGAAGTATTTCCGTAATTTGAATATTATTTAAATATTATTTAAAAAATATATAAAATAGGAAATGTCGAACACCGACTTTGACGTGATATAGAATGAAATCCGCAGCAACCATACAAGGTCCAAAGAGATGGCCACAGGACTAACAGATAGTAGTGGATGCAATCAAAGCAAGTATAAACTTATGTTACGAAATTATTGTAGAAGAGAACTGGATTCGGCAGACGAAGATATGCTTGAAAAACACGAATCAGACATTAAGAAATTGTGGAGCTACATTGACAGAAAATACGAAAAAATACTCAATGAGACAGTTATGGATGAAGAAATAGAATATCTGTGTGATGAGAGGTCATCATTATCATATAAAAACTAAGAAAGCAAAAAAGACTCTGAGAAGAGGAGAGGCAAGGGTCAATAGCCTATCTTCTGGCATAGTGGTGGCGGCAATCAAAGGCAGATTTCGCTATATTAGGAAATGAATACGGCCGACGATGATGAGCTTAAAAAGTATGAATCAAAAATTAGGATTTTCTGGTATCAGGAAATAGCACGCAAATATCGCAGAGGATTTGTTAATAAGGATAATGACGATCTGTCTGTTGATATCCGTGATATCATACGAAGACTAAGAATTAAAAAAACATATTGACACATAAAAAGGAGGAGAAGTATATACAGACGACAACACGGGGTTTAAGAAAATGGGGATGGGAAAATCCAGCAAAAGAGTGAGTGAAACAAGCTTTAATCAATTCGACGAAACTTTATTAAATTCTCTCTGGAATTAGAGGAGGATGAAAAAGACGTGAGAAAATACCTTACAAAAATACATGTTGAAGACAATGCGACAATGGAAACTGACAAAAAGTTGATAAGATCAACTAAATGCGACCACAATCCACGCAGGGTGACAGAAATAGAAGCCGTTCCCTCGACGTTTGGGTCTAAGCAACCGGAACGGACCCCCGATATTTATCCGGCCAAAGACTGTCAACTCGGTACCATTCCTCGAAATTACTACAGGAATATTTTCTGCGCTACGACAACAACAACAGAAATAGAAGAAGAGGATAATGTTGAAACATATGAAGCATATTTTTTTATGAGTAAAACTAACGACAAATTATTTTCCTCTTAAATTTATATTTTACCGCTTGTAATCATAATTAGCGCTTGCGCAGTACTAGAATATGAAGAATGATTTTCACGATAAACTAACCAATTAAATTTTGTCCTAAATACTGTAACGGATTACTCGATAAATCGTCTACCTGTAACTCATTCTTGAGTTCGATCACTGGATTGTTAAATAAAACTCCCCAATTTAATGGCTACACATTTATCTTTATTTCGAATTCCAACAACTTAACACTTATTGCTCGATATTCGAGCTTACAACTTCTTGCTTATGTCTCAATTGTTCTTATCACGACAACACTCTAACTAGAACTGTGTTTGCTGCACAATCCGGCAGCCCTTATATAGTAAATCTGTAACAAAACATTGCTTCTAGAACATTCTGGCAACTACGAATTCGCTAACTAGTTGCTTCTGGCAGTTTATCGTTGATTCGATTTTGTTCTATCATCCGTGTTCGTCACAATACGTTCATATTCGGTATAGTTATATATAAAATCACCTTTAGTCGTTGCAACAGTGTATGCCAAATATTGAATATAGAACTTTTATTACTGTCAATTATTTATAAAATTCTATTTATTTGTTCTGTTATAATAAACTAATAGCTCTAAAGAACTTTACAGAAATTAATTTTAATATTAAAGTTTGGTGTCAGTTGACGTATTTTAGGTGTTAAAATGTACATATGTACGCACACACATGATTAATACAAAATAATTGAACCTATTGTTAAGATTGGGCAATTGTTAATTATCAGTCATTGTTTTTTTTTTAATCTTTTAGCCTGGTAACTTTCTTTATTAATATAGATCGGGTGTGTTAGTTCAACTTCTGAACGGAATTCTAAATTAAATTTTCAGAAAAAAATGATAATGAAAATGAATTATCAATTATTATATTCAATCAATAAAGCTTTTTTACTTTTTTAGATTGAAATTTCAGATTCACCTAGTGATTCTGAATGCAGTTAAAATAGGTCGAACAGGAATAAAAAATTAAAAAGTTTGAAAAAGAAAAAACCTGCGATTCCAAAATTCTGTAATGCTTGGCTGCAAAATCCAGAGTTTAAGGAATGGTTGAAGATGTCAGTTTATAATGACAAAAACAAAGCATTTTGTAAAGTATTTATGAGTGAAATAATTTGCTATAATAAGGGTAGTCTCAAACGACATGCAAAGTCAAGAAGACATAAATCAAATATCTTTGAAACCTGTAAAAAATCATGCAATTGATACTCTATTTGAAGAAACTCCGTTAAATAGGCAAGTAAAAAGAGCGGAATTAATACTTTCTGCGGTAGTAGCAACGAAATGCCTATCATTTTCCGTTATTTTTGTACTTGGACTTATTATAACAAAGATTTTTCTTGATTCGAAGAATGCAAAAAAAGAGTATCAATATTGTATTCTTTACAAAAGAAAGTCTTGTCACAAAAAATATACCTTTTTACTATTTAGTTGGGTTCTCTTCTGACACTACCAATGTTATGGCTGGAGGACACAAATCGAAAATTGCATTATTCAAGAAAGATAATGACGACCTAGCATTTATCAAATGTTCATGTCACGGCATACATATTGTTAATTCACATGAATGTAGCAAACTGTCTAATTCTGCTGAAGAACTACTTCGTAATTTAGCGTCATATTTTCATCAGTTGGTAGAGGATTAAGCAGTTGCAAGAATTCCAGGAGTATTTTGAAGTAAGTTTGCACAGAATCTTGTCACTGAGTAACACACGTCGGTTATCACTGAAAAATGGTGTTGACCGAGTTCTAGAGAATACATACAATACCTTTACAGGGTTTTCTCCAAGGCCAGTTACTTTCAGACCCATCTCCTACAGTACAAACTATGATTAAAACCATGGATAATCAGTTCACTTTTATTACTTTGCAGTCTTTAAGTTATGCACTAGGTATTTTTACAGAATGTAACAAAATGTTTCAAAAATAGAAATTTGTATTACACAAGGTGAAACCTGAGATTGAGAAAATGTTGAAAGATCTGTGTTCAAACTACATCGATATTGCTTACATAAGGAACGACGACATTTTAAACATGGATCACAAAAACCCTCGACTGTTTGTCTCAATAGACAATATTTACGTGGGTCTTGAAGCACACGAATATAAAGAGAAGGAAACAATGAATTTATGTTTAACAATCTGAAAAAAGTTGTATACGTTTTACTACAATAATTTTACTATTTTCAAATGTATCGGTTGAGAAAATTTTTAGTGACCTTAAAAATGTTACAACAGATCATAGAAATAATGTATCAACTGACACTTTGAAGTCTATTTTGATTACCAAAAACTTTTTATCCAAAGATAATGATATCATAATTTTGAGCCTAATGATGAAATGTTAAATGCTTAAATTTGGGATATAAAAGATATTTTGAAAAGTATGTTAATGTATTATATGTTACGTTATGACTTGTATAATAATTGTAAGTGTTAAATTTATAAAAGTATTTTATAAAAAAAATTATGACAATATTATTTAAAATAAAGCATTGTAATTAATAAATAATTCTTTTAATACTGCAAGGATGAGATTATAAATAAATTTTTATATTTGCTGCTCTTGGATTTGAGTTGGTTACAGTGTCGGGTAAAAACGGGTAACCGGGCTTGAAGGAAAAGGTAATCGAGATTTGTCGCATCGGTAACACTGGGTTTAAATTAAAAGACATTGGCTTTGTACATTTTTATCAAAAAATCTTTGGAATTATTTATTAAGTGAAACATGAACAATAACGGAAAAAATATGAATTAATTGAAGTGATAGTCGTTTATATGCACTGTAGGGATATATGTATATGAAGCGGCAAAAATTGCGGCTGTACGTATGAATAAATGAGGTTATATGTAATGTATATATCTCTACAACATTTCTTCTAACGCATCCAACACTTTATTAACTATAAAAACTAGTTTAACTTTATATATTAATTTAAACATTTTCTGTACTTACGAATTTGAATGAAAAGATAACTTTAAGACTACCATGTTATGCAAATTAAACTTCACATTTGGAATTACCAGACTATATCCTTATTTAGCTATATTAAGTGAAATTTTTCAATTTTATGAAAATTTTTGTTAAGTCTAGTTAAGTCATAAAGAGACGAAAATAAAACTAGCAGTTAAGCGTATGTTACACATACACAACAAATGCTACAAATAAAGAAGGGTAAAATCAAGGGTACACCGCCGTCTAATGAGAAAGAAGACATGACAATTCCCACAACAGCCGGTTCTACGTTACCGAAATTGACCCGGATTTTATCCGTCCAAGGGCTGTTATTTCGGCGATCTAACCCTGTTTGGATCGGTAAGTTTTAGTTTAAGTTTGTCGTCCTTAGAGCAACGCCTAGCAGCAGGGTTGCTCCGTATCCTCCTGACCCGTGCTGGCATCGAGTCCCACCCGGGCCTCGAGGAATTCTTCTGCTGCATTTGCGTTAAAAGGCTCCATCCAAGCTCCACCTAGGTTAGGTGCAACACATGCAATGGATGGAGCCATCTTAGGACCTGCGTCATACGTTGCCCCTACACCTACTCCTACAGCACGTCTGCTCCCGCAATCCCATATAGCGGCGTAGCCAAACAACACACAGTGCGACAACCGCCCATGCGGATATTACAGCTGCAACAACCACCACCTACACGTGCCTCCTTTACCCCAGGATCACCACCGGACACCCGAGACAAACGCGACTTCTACAATTTAACTGCAACGAACTCCAGAGTAATATCGACGAGATAGTTGCATTTATGAGCCGGGAACGCGTATCGATAGCTGCGGTCCAAGGAACCAAGCTAAACAACCGCAGATCTTCTGGGTTGTGCAGGTTTCAACGTTTTACGTAAAGATCGCGAGCGAGATAATAGTGGAGGCCTAGCCTTCATACTGCACAACACGGTGCAATATCGTCTAATCGATGTTGACATCAACCGCAGGGACACTACCCCTGAATTTCAGGGTATAGCTGTCCGGTCAGGCGATGTCGAGCTCGAGATATTTAATATACAGTGGATCACAGCTTATTTGATACAGCAGTCGATATAAATTTCGAATCCCAATATTTTTTAAACTGAAAGGAATATTGAAAAAATTTAAACGCTATATTTTAGAGTAAAGAATTTCATATATATAATGTACTTCATTTATTTAAAAAATATTTTATTTTCAACTATATGTACATAAAATTAAAATTACTGCTAAATTTCAGGTCACAGCTTATTTGATACAGATATTTTTTCATCACGAGGCGCCAGCTTGTCGCACCGCATAACTGTATTTTATTTTGCCATGCATATTGGCGTCGTTTATGATTAGTTTTAAATATTTTTTAGTGTGTTATAATAAACCATGGAGACAGCAAGTGCGTTTATATAAAAATGGGTCGTCGTACAACAATTGAGCAGCGTGAACTGGTCATAAACAAATTTAAAAACGGTAAATCGGTTCGACAAATTGGTGAAATTGTGAACCTTAGTGCCTCCACTGTACAGCACATCATTGAGCGATATTTACATGAAAATCGAGTGGAAAGTAAAGGCAGAAGTGCGCCAAACAAAATTTTTAGTGCTTCCGAAGAGCGCTATATTGTTCGAAAAATCAAGGTAAACCCCAAACTATCAGCTCCAAAATTGGTTGTGGATGTTCATCAGGAATTAGGAAAATCATGTAGTGCTGAAACTATCCGCCGCGTACTCCGCGAACATGATTTTAATGGTCGAGTTGCTCGTAAGAAACCATTTATTAGTAAAAAAAACCAAATATGTCGACTAAAGTTCGCTCAGGAACATGTTTGTAAGACCCATGATTTTTGGAACACGGTTATATTTTCAGACGAGTCGAAATTCAATATTTTTGGGTCCGACGGCATGTCTTACGTTTGGCGAAAAAAGAATAGAGAGCTAAATAAGGAGAACCTAAGAGCTACAGTGAAACATGGCGGTGGAAGTGTGATGGTTTGGGGTTGTATGTCCTCAGCCGGTGTAGGAAATTTGGAGTTTATTGAAGGGACAATGGACAAAAATATGTACCTTAATATCCTGAGAAGTAATTTGCTGCAAAGTGCCGAGAATCTTGGTATAAAAGAAAAATTCCGCTTTTATCAAGATAACGACCCAAAACACAAAGCAGCAGTCGTTCAATCCTGGCTCATATGGAACTGTCCCCATTTGATGACACCCCCGGCACAGTCACCTGATATGAATGTTATTGAAAATTTGTGGGCTTTATTAGACAAAAACATTCGAAGCCACAAAATTTCGAACAAAGAGGAATTGAAAAGGGCGCTACTAGAGGAATGGCAGAAAATTACCCTAGAAACCACACAAAAGTTGGTCCATTCAATGCCAACCAGGATCCAGGCTCTTGTTAAGGCGAAAGGCTTTCACACAAAATATTAAGAATTTAAGATTGAAAGTGATTTGTTTTTGTTATTTTAGAAAGAATTGAACTGTATCAAATAAGCTGTGACCTGAAATTTAGCAGTAATTTTAATTTTATATACATATATTTGAAAATAAAATATTTTTTAAATAAATGAAGGACATTATATATATGAAATTCTTTACTCTAAAATATAGCGTTTAAATTTTTTCAAAATTCCTTTCAGTTTAGAAAATATTGGGATTCGAAATTTATATCGACTGCTGTATCAAATAAGCTGTGATCCACTGTATACATCCCCCCAGTTACATGTTGCCCAACAGGATATCACCCACACATAGGTGTGCTACTTCGTGGTGAAAACCGTTTGGTGCTGGCGACTTTAACGAGCAACACGATCTTTGGCATTCCTGCCTGTCAAACGATCGTAGGGGGATAGAGCTGGCGGAACAAATTGATGATTCGACATTCTGCACAATAAATGACGAAGCCCCCACCAGAATTATAGGCGCCTGTAATAGCTCGCCAGATATTAAGATCGCTAGCGGTGGTTTGATAAATAGCATAACCTGGCGACCTATGCTAACTCTCGCATCAGACCATCTGCCCATAATTATCTTGATTGAAAAACCTCCCGATTTTATTTCTGTTGAAAACCGCACAATTCTGCAATGTGATCACTGCTGCTATTGCTCGCTTCATACCGGCAGGAAGAACAGCGGAACTCCGCCCTAATTTCCCAGCCAAAGCAGATGAGCGCACGCAAGAGCGCGACACCTTACGCCATGCCGGTCCGTGTGATCCCCGAATAAGGGATCTCAATTTGGATATTCGGCAAATGGTAAATCAACATAAGCGGATAAAATGGATAGCGCATCTATAGTCCTGCAATCTCTCCACCGGTGTGAATAAGCTTTGGACTACTGTCAATGCCTTGGCTAATCCGAGGAGACATGACGACCGAGTTAAAAATAAATTCGATGGCCATGCTTTCTCGGACCCGAAGAAGTGCGCGAGCTATTTTAGCCGCCAAACGATGTGTTACCCGACGGCTGCGCAAAATGTCAAAAGACTGCGCACCACTTACTTACTTTCACCGATGAGGAGGTTCAGGGTGCCATCAAAAAGGCCAAATCGTCCAAATCCATTGGCTCTGACCGAATAAGCATGGTGATGCTATAACATCTAGGCTCGACGAGAGTAAGCTACCTCACCAAGGTCTTCAACTTGTCGATGACCACTCTTCAAATACCCGATGTATCAAAAGTCGGAAGAGTGGTCCCACTACCGAAACCTGGGAAACCCGCCTACAAAGGGGAGTCTTATCGTCCGAAAACATTCACTTACCACCTGAGTCTAGCAGACCATTAGCATTGCTTCCGAAAAGTGCACATCACCACCACAGCACTAAGCATCATAAACGTCCAAATAGTTCATGGCCTAAACCAGAAGCCACCGTGCGAGAGGACGATCCTAGTAGCGTTGGACTTGTCAAAAGCTTTTGACACAGTCAACCACACAACGCTACTTGAGGATATAGAACAATCCACGCTTTTTCCAGGGCTGAAGCGGTGGACTATGAACTACCTGAGCGGACGGCATTCTTCCGAACTGTTTTGAGGTCAAAACTCCAAACTTAGAAGAATATCACAGGAGGTACCACAGGGCGATGTTCTCTCCCCGCTGCTGTTTAATTTATATATTTCGAAACTCCCCCGACAGCCAACAACCCTAAAATTTTAGGCGTTACATTCGAAACGTTGCTGGCAACTTACAAGGCAATCGGCCGGTCGGTTTCAAAACACTGCACTCCGGACTATCACGGGATGCCTCTTGATGTCCCCAATAGAACACCTTCATAGTGAGGCCCGTATGCTTCCGGTTAAGGAACATAACGAGCTCCTCTCCAAGTTGTGTCTGCTGGGATGTTTTCGTAGAAACCACCCCTGTAGTCATCTGCATGGAGCGGAACCGCCTCCTAGGAACATCAAGAGGTCCTTCCTTGATTACGTTGACGACATTAGACAGTACGCCGATCAGACTTCGGACGCAACAAACTTTAGACAAGCACTGACCGCCATTCACAGTAGAAGCAGCGTTCACTTTCATCGACTTCCTCTCAGTGAATGGCGTGCTAGGAGTCAAACCACCACCCATCGCAGACGTAGAGCTCGAGT